AAACAAGAGAGGGAGGGAAAATTATGTGAGTGGTGACAGGGGTAGGATTAGAGGTAGAGTTAGGGTTAGGGGAAGGTGTAGAGTTAGAGTTAGGGGAAGGGGTAGGGATAGGGTTAAGGGTAGGGGTAGGGAGCCCTACAGATGTTCTGAATTCCAAAGTCCCGAATTTTTTTTCTTACCCGAATCTCCGAGCTGAACCTAACCAAATTTTTTGACAGTGCACATCCTTAATGGGCTATCTTTCCAATGATGTCTAGATGAGTTTAGCAGAACATTGTGGGAAATTTCCACATAAAAAATAATAAGCTTAGAATCTTGGATTAATTGGAACGCTGCCTTTGGCAGTAATTCTTAAATTCTGGGCCAGAACATAAAATTGGGTTCCCATGCTATTTCAGTGCATCCCCAAAGATTAGAGCAAACATATTATATAGTCAGCAGGCCATAGGAAACTGACAATAATTATAATGAGTACTCTAGGAAAACTGCACTCTTAAGTGCAATGGGGTCTGTTTTGACATAGATGTCTAATAAGATGTTTTGTAGAATTGATTTTATTATGTATTCTCGTAATTTTAAAGTATGGGTCACTGAGATGATTGTAAGTTTGATTACAATTGTAAGTATTATAGTCTAAGAAAATATAAAGTAGTATATTTTCAAACGTTGGGATTTTTAAGCTAAGCATTAGAAATATGACTTTCAAAAGCTATTCAATTAAAAGCAAGTTGTGGCCAAAATAAAATAGCTAGAATGATTCTACAACTCTGTTAAATCAACATATTTTTCCAATGTGGCTATTCTGACCTCAATTTTGCAAATCAATTCACAACTTGCTTAGTAAATAAAAAATATATTTTTAGAACATCTGCAATCATACCATTTCACACGTTAATCTATGTTTCAGAAATGTGAAGCAATAATCATCTTAAAGGAGGACCATTACATTTTGTAGTGTTACTTGTTTGATGGTATATCAACCACTTCAACAACATATTTGTTAAAAGAACACAATTAGAATAAAAAGGAAGCTTATCATTTTATGTGAAATATGGGTTGCATAGCTAGCACGTAGGATTATGATAGCACAGCAGTTTTATACATAGCAACTTAGAAAAAGCTGAATTAATGTTAACATACATTGACGTTGTGGCAGGCGTATGCAATGTATGATCATATACTGTAACTAAACCCCCATTTATTTTTGCCTAGGTGAGGTGTTTTCAAATAAAACTATTACAAGCTGTAAGACTTGAAATTGCTATTTAGTGAATGAATAAGTGCAGTGGATCTTGTATGTTGTATGAATTGGCCCCAGCGGCACCTTTACAAGTATGCATGCTCAGGTGAGTGCACAAAAGGTAATAGTAGAGTACATACTGTTAATAAATGAACCATTTGGTCTAATAGCATACCAGAGTACATATTGCTAAAGGAACTACGGGAACATTCCGAGCACCATAAACGCTACACCCCAGGGAACATTTATGGTGGAGCACCAGGGTGCCCTACCATGACAAGATGTCAAATGTTTATAGCATTGTTTGACTAACTACCTGGCTCCCTTGGGCACCCATGCAGCATCTCGTCATTTCCACCAGGAGAAGTCACATGTCTCTGTAGAGAAAAGGAAAGCACATGCAGGGCCATGTTCATTGGTTGAGAGGAGAGTGATTAGCTGACCCTCCCAGCTAACAGGCAGTCTTTCATGGTCCAAATTTGCTCTATAGAGCAATCCAATTTCAACTGCTGTAGAAGACTGGAAGTATCAGATGATATCAGCACCCGGCAGGTCCTAGATCATTTTTCAAACAGTGCTAGAATTATTTCACATCTTATTAGTGATGGCACCAGGGCACCCCTGACATCATAATCATTACAGCAGTCTTTAGTGGTTGTGGTGCTTGTAGCATTGCTTTAAATAGCTAGAAGGGCCCCTTTCTAAACATGCAATATTACAGTATGTATTATTCATGTTGCCAATTATTGTAACTTCTAGAGGAAACTATTTTCAAAGTTCGAACTTATTAAAAATTATCTCCCAAGTGCAATCTAAAAAATAATCATGATATTTACTGAAAATAGCTTGCTCGATGAACTGGACATACATGATGTGATATAGAAATGTGCAATCAGAAAAGCACAAAACGTTAATTTTGCTTGGTTCTGCATGCCTGCTCATTTTATTATAACAAGTTAAGAATCAGACTTGAGCACTACAAAATAGAGCTCTTTTATTGCTAAATTCGATTCTGAGAGATGAAATAATTGAAAACAGACTTTTTCTTTCTCGTGGGAATTTGTGGTCTAATCTACCCTAATCAGGATGGCACTCTATATGCTGTTTGCTTGCTTGCATGTAATGGAGATAGCATTTGGTATTTTTATGCAGATCTTAATTTAGATTACATCAGCATATAGAGTGATGTTTAAAAGTATGAACTGCGTTGTCTTACAACATCTGCAATTAATGTAATTTTAGATTTAGAACTATAGAGAGTTGTAAAACAGAATTGAAAAGTACACAAATTAGAATTCTCTAGTTTTAAAAATAAATACCAATAAACTCTTGTATAACTGGTTACGCTTCATAAATTGCAAAGATCCTTATACTAAAGAGAACATGTCCATAACTATATATTTAAAATATTTTTATGGGCTTGAATCATTTGCACAAAGTTATGCATTTATTATACGTTTATTATAAACATGTATATGTCCTATTGGTGTAGTGCCAATATATTTACCGCTATTAGAAAATGGTAATCCAAATTTATGTTTATGCATATTTTGCATAAAATATAATATATAACTGCATATTTTTATTAAAAGGAGCAGTAAGAGTTAACAATGAATAATAATCATGTTCTAATTGTACTTTTAAAAGTGCAGTACAAAGCCTCATCTAGTCACTTTTAGTAAAATGATTTAAAAAGAAATCCCTAGTTGCACACATTGATAAAAAAAGGAAATTTTCTAGATCTAGACCATAAACAAAAACATTATTTTGTTGAAAACAATAATATTCATGGCATGACAAGATGCATGACTAATTAATTTAGTAACATATGTCAATGGTTCTACAGGAGATTCTCAAAAAAGTGTTACTCTTTCAAAATTGTAACGATACATTTTCCCTGTTCATTACCGATAAACCTCTAGATCTCTTTGAAATATTCTCCAAATGTAAAAATTTAAATATAATTTTTCTACATTTTTTCTACAGTTCCTCAATATATACATCAAAACATTTCCCTCAAACACCTACATGAGCAACATGGGCATAATTGCCTTTTTACAGATATTGCCTAAAATAAACTACAATTCTTTTAAATGTTACTGTCAAAATGGAAGAGAATAAAGAAGAGAGGAAGGTATATTTAAGCCCATATTATACATTGTGGCAAACATGCCTATGCCACGAGCTCCTGGAGGAGCCTGCTAGCTAGCCTCCTGCCCAAGGACTATGGGCCGTATCCAAAGACGCTGTTCGGGAGTTAACCTGCCTGCTCTTCCCCAGCAGCTTTCCCTGGGTGCCCCTGGTTTAGCACTTTCCCTTCTTTGGAACTGAACCGAACACTAGCTCCCTGGTGGGGAGCTCTATTACATAAGGTAGTGAGGACACATGTCTAATTTCCCATAGTAATGCTATCTCAATCCTGACTGGTGACAGATGCAGTGATTTATTTGTTTTTAGTGGTTCAGTTAAATCTTTGCTCTTCTACACTTCTCCCGGATATAAGTCCTTAGAGTGATGCTTGAGCACAGAAGTGTTTGAAATTTTTTTTATATATATACTGATCAGCCACAACATTAGACCCACTGACATAGGAATGGGTAACATTTAATTTATTGTTACAACGCCACCTGTCAAGGGGTGGGATATATTAGGCAGCAAGTGAACAGTCAGTTTTTGAATTTTTTTTGAATCTGTTGGAAGCAGGAAAAATGGGCAAGGAAAAAGATCTGCGTGACTTTGACAATTGCCCAATAGTGATGGCTAGACAACTGGGTCAGAGCATCTCCAAAATGGCAAGTCATGAGTGTTCCCGGTATAAAGAATTCACTAAAGGTAATTTTTAAGCAAAGTCAGTGATTTGGTAAGTTCTCTGTGTGATAAATAATTAAACAACACATGTCCAGATTACACAAAAAATACAGAAATTCAGGCATAAGTTCCAAACTATTTTCATATTCTGAATCTGGGTTTACGTTAATAGATTTTAGATTTTGGTGCTGCCTGATTTTAAGCATTTAAATAGGAAAATGCAAAGCCAGCTGTTGTTACAAGCATCATACAGGCAAGGATTTCTAGATAACAACAGCACTAAAAAAGAAATACAAATAAACGAAATATAAAAAAATAAATGGTAAATAAAATATGAAAAGGGTGTCTCCAGTGCCACATTAACTACGTTAACCTACCTGTTTTCCCCTATTCGCTCACAGTATACAAAATGAGGTGTAATATATATGCATATAAATAATGTAAAATAAAATTAACACCCTCTTAAGCGATGTAAAGATGTGTAAGGTGATGAACATATTTAGAATAGACTGAAATAAAGACATAACATAGAAATAAAAATTTGTTTTGGAAAAAAACACACAAACTATTCTTCCTGAGTTCTGGAGAAATAATGAACCATCTTTATAGGTAGACGTTTAGAAAGCAAATACACCCAAAATATGCCAATGACATTAAAATACACATTTCAAATAAAAGTGCCAACACATACGTTTATCTAGTGTAATGGTCCTTTACTTTTTCAATCTTTCTTAATGAATTAGAAACCAGCTGGTTTTAATCAAGCAGATGGTGTCTGCAGAGAACATTTAAATGAATCCAAAAGCATTTAATCAGCCTTGAGAAGAGTAACTTTGATCACATCCTCTACAGTGTTTATAAATTAAAACTGTAAAAGATTTTATTTGAAAAGAATGCAACAGATATTATTATACTCTGAACATTTGAGAAATTCAAAGATAAGGAGAAAGCTATGATAAAAACAAAGGTTTCGAGGGGGCAGAGCCTAACCTCGGAGGAAGATGTACGCTTAGTTCCACAGCTTCCTCTCCACCAAGCACAAAATCAGCTACCATACGCACCACTCACGGCGCCAACACCCCCCAAATTGCCTCCAAACGAGCCACTACCACAAGACTCCACAAAATGGGTGGCAAAAAAAAAAAAAGAAGAACTTACCCCGTCGATAGCCTCCTTGTTCCGCACGCCTGGAGACCCACAGAGGCCTACCCACTCCAATCACGCGGGCAACCAAGGTACTGACTCCAAGGGGACCGACCCCACATCAAACCCCTCGGCCCCCCTCACCATCGGGAGCCTCCGCAACATGCTGAAAGAAGCCACGTCGGACATTAAATGCTACGTGGCAGAGGAGATCAGCAAAAACCTAGCAGGCCTCAGAGCAGACGTGAAGGCACTTAACTCTGGCACCGACCAGACGGAGGTACGTATCAAAACACTGACAGCTGCCTCCACTTCACAGTCCCAAGAAATCTCCTACCTCCACGGCCGCCTGACTGCCATGGAGGACAGCCTGGAGGACCTTAATAACAGGTCATGGAGGAATAATATCCGGCTCTGCGGCCTACCCGAAGCAGTCCAGCCAGAGGCCCTGATCACCACCCTGAAAAGTATCTTCTCTGCAATGGCGCCCGAACTGCCGCTAACACTCCTGGAAATGGACCGGGCCCATAGGGCACTGCGCCCCCCTAACCTGAATCTCTCTACCCCAAGAGACGTTATAATTCGCCTCCACTACTTTCAAACTAAGGAAAAACTAATGCAACTAGCCAGAGACCGCCCTCCCAAATATAAAGATACCAGCCTAACCTTCTTTCAGGACTTGGCCCCAACCACATTAAAGAAGAGAAGAGATTTAAAACCCCTCACCTTGGCCCTCCACCTAACCCCGATCACCTAACCGGGCTTAGAGATCTGTGAAGTCACTCTGGCTACAGCCCAAACCTCACGACAGCACCAGAAAGGAAAGCGCCAACACAAATCAGCAAGCCCCGACCCCCGTCTACATAAGGGGGAAGAGAGACGACACAAATAAGGAAGGCAGCAAAGACCCCACTCCACCCGGACACCCTCTTCCCCCAGGACTGACCCCAAACACATTCCTCCAACCCCAACAAGAGCTGACTCATTTGATCCACGACAGAAGACACCCCCACTCCGAAACCGCCTTGGAATACACCTGAAGAGAGAGACACATACGAACTAAATAGGCATTACTCTTACAATTTCATTAACTGAACACTCTGATCACCACAATGGTAATGGGGAAACGCGGGGAGGGAGGGGTGAGACTGACCAAAGAGGGAACGGAACTATTAGGGGAGGGGAGGAGGGAGGTTTACACCCCAGACCGGATGGACTGCTGGACGCAGAAACATAAATGACACTAACACGAATTAATGAAAACACTCACAAGCGACCTACAGGCAACATAGTGACTCAAATCCACCCCCCACACCTTGACCTGACCCCCCCCCCCCAAAAAAAAATAGCAGAGCACACGGGACAAGACTGACCACACACCCCACTCTCACACGGAGGATGGAGAACAGAAAGGGGAGGATGGGGAAGGAAGGGATGATAAAAATACTAGAACAATATAGACAGAAACGCAAAGAAGGGGGGGGGGGAGAGAATTAAAAGGCAAAATCTATATCTGGCAGATCTCATCACCAAACCTTGACAGTTAACTTCCTGAAAATATGACAAACTGGTTAAACCGAGTTAACATTCGCTGACTTTTAATGATGTTAATGTTTCTCTTGTATATATGTTAAAGTTTTTTTTCTCCCAAGCGAACCTCACAACTGATGATGCAAACCTACATACAACACAAAAGGGCGAGAGACAGAAAACAAAACACCTTATCCCGCACCGACAAACCACAAACCACCACAACAATAGGTACAACGAAACGACAAAGAAATCACCGAACAACCATGAGTGATACACTGCCAAAAGTGCAGGGGGAGGAGGGGAGACGGGGATGTAAAAAACCTTCCTCCTCTCTCCTTCACCACAACCCACACTACACGCACCCCACTCCAAAGGCACCACACATACTCGTCCAACACCACCTGGCAATCCTAAAGTAAGACCAGGGCATACCGACACCCCCTCCTCCCCTTCATTAGGCACCTATACCCCATACTCCTTACCCCTACCCTACCCAGCACAAACCCTCCCTCTCGAACCACCCACCCTAAGGGGCGAGAGACCCCGGGTCCTCCACATACTGAACCACAAACCAGGCCCACACCTGTAGTCAGCATGAAAACAATGAAATGTATCTCACTCAACTGCAAGGGCCTAAACAACCCGGCTAAACGCCACCAGCTGATGCGGTGGGCCGGAGCTGATATAATAATCTTCCAGGAAACGCACTTTGAGACCTCGAGGCCATTCCCACTTAAAAACAGACACTACAAAGAATGTCACTTAGCAAACTCCCCGACCGGAAAACATAACGGGGTAGCGATACTCATCCGGAACACATGCCCCATTAGCTTCACAAACACCATAGCCGACCCCCAGGGCAGATTCCTTACTATAGCAGGACAGCAGGGCACTCACAAATACGCGATTACCACAATATACGCCCCCAACAACCCAGTCCCACCCTTCTGGACAGCCATCCAGGCACACCTCAAGCTGTTCCCCTCCCACCACATGATCACAGGAGGAGACTTTAATGCGGTTATCAACCCCCAAACAGACCGACAACGCCAAACCACACACACTGGCAAAGCAACTCCAATGACCAGAACGGACAAACTACTCTCGAACTTTGTACTCCAATCAGGTCTCCATGACATCTGGAGAATGCAAAACCCCACAACCCTTGACTTCACTTTTTACTTACATTCTCATCTCTCCTACTCCAGGATTTATATGTTCCTGATATCCCCTTCCCTCCTAACCCAGAACATCACAACATCTATAGGTACGATCACGTGGTCCGACCACGCAGAGATATCCCTTACACTCTCAATCCCACAAACAGCTAGAACATGGTCATGGCGATTAAACCCAACACTCCTGCATATCCCTGAAATAAGGGCATCCATCCAAACGACGCTCACAGAATACTTCTACTTAAACATAGATTCAGTAGAATCCGTAGGCATATTATTGGCAGCACACAAAGCAGTCAAGAGGTAAACTGATTGCAGAAGCCACAAAACACAAAAAACAAAAACTAGAGGAACTGAAAGACCACCTCCTCTCTCTCAGGGCCCTAGAGAGCCAACATAAACAACACCCCACCAATTCTAGCACAGATCAAAACTCACCAACAAGCCATCAAATCCTATATGGCTAAAGACTCACAAAGAGCCCTCCAATGGAGCAAACAGCTCTTTTACGAGAAATCAAACAAGGCAGATACCCTCTTAACCCGCAAACTACGCCCCAAAACATATAATAAGCGCATTAGCAAAATAAACTCTCCAAGGATTTTCTCCCAATATTTCACAACACTTTATAACCACAATCCTGACCCATCGCAAACCCTAAAACAAGATATCGAAATATACCTCCGAAACAATACCCCCATCGCTAACAACCACGGCAATAGAAATGTTATCGGCCCCTATCACGACAGAGGAAATAGCAAACACACTAAAAACAATTAAACCCAACAAAAGCCCAGGACCAGATGGATTCACAGGCCTCTACTATAAGACATATGCAAACACATTAATACCACATCTCATAGCACTAAGGAACTCACTACTCCAAGGAAACCCACTCCTAAAGGAAATGCTCAGGACAAACATCTGCCTCATTCCAAAACCGGACAAAACACATCTAGACCCAGGCCACTTTAGACCCATCTCTCTACTTAACGTAGACACTAAAATTTTTACTAAAACCCTTGCCAACCAGATCCAACCACTCCTACTGAAACTAATACATCCTGACCAGGTGGGTTTCATCCCTACGAGACAGGCAGCAGACAACAGGAGACGAGCACTCGACCTGATATGGGTGGCAAACAGGAGACAGACCCCAACACTCCTCCTGTCAATGGATGCCGAAAAAGCATTCGACTGACTACTCTGGCCATTCCTGTTTGCCACCCTCCAGAAATTAAAATTCCCGACACCCATCCTCGAAGCCCTAAGGGCCCTCTACGACCAACCCACACTCCTCATCCTCAACGGCCACACTCCTCATCCTCAACACCAAACACCCAGAATTCACAATCAAAAACGGGACGAGATAAGGCTGCCCACTCTCCCCACTCTTATTTGCCCTCTTGCTCGAACCTCTCCTTCAAAACATATGAAATGAACAGGCGATACAGGGCATTAAAATCAGGTCTGAAGAGTACAAAATAGCGACATACGCCAACAATATCCTCCTCACAATCTCAGACTCCACTCAATCCTTACCACCCCTACTAACCCTCCTGCAACAATACGCAACTCTCTGGGTATAAACTCAACCTGGAGAAAACCAAGGCCCTCCCAACAGCAATACCACAACACACTAAACAACTAAAAACAGCCCACCCATTTAGATACAACTCGAACAATATACACTACCTAGGAACATATCTTCCTGCAGATCTGAACACAACATATGCTCTGAATTACACACCATTACTCCGCCAAGCGCAGCTGGACCTGCAAAAATGGGGACCCATGTCCATCATGGCTAGGGCGCATAACCTCAATAAAAATGAATCTCCTCCCCCGATTTCTCTATCTCTTTCAAGCGCTACCAATACCCATTTCCAAACACGACTTTAAAACGCTCCAAATACACATAGACAGATTCATATGGTCAAACAGGAGACCACGTATTAAAAGATCCACAATGTACAAAACCACAAAAACAGGAGGCCTGGGTCTCCCGAACTTCTACCACTATTACCAAGCGGCCCAAATACAATACCTATACGCACCACTGGGACTCAAACTCTGGGTAGACCTGGAGCACGACCTCCTGGGATGAGACCACCCATCACTACTTTTTTGGCTACCTAAGAAAGACAGACCACGCACCCCACAGATTACCCCTACATTAACAACATCTTTCCTCATCTGGGACGATATCACATCAACACACCCCATAACGAACACACCATTGCCCTTCACACCTATTCTGAGAAACAAGCACTTTCCCCCAGGCCTAACACCCAAAGACTTCTCAAGGTTTGAAGATAACGGACTATTCTGATTCCTCCACTTTTTCCAAGGCCAACAACTTCGCCCATTCCAAGACCTCCCCAAACACATTCGACCACTTTTGCTACATAAAGATTTGCAGCTTTCTCAACAAACCACACAATAGAGCAGCCGCCACTAATAGACCAACTCAATTCAAAAAAACATGCCTCCATGCACCCATACAGAAAAGCAAATCTTAACCATATACCTACTCTTAAACTCCAACTCCCCAGAGGATGCTCTCTTTTATACTAAGGCATGGGAAAGAGACATAGGCCTCCCCGCAGACCCCTCAGACTGGGCGGACATATGGGAAGCCACGGCTTCGCTCACCATATGTGTAAACCATAAAGAACAGGCTTACAAAACCTTGCTCAGATGGTACCTCACGCCTCTTAGACTAAAACAAATGGGCTGTGCCACCACGGACACATGCTGGAAAGGCTGCGAACAGAAGGGCACCTACATCCACCTCTGGTGGGCGTGCCCCCAGGTCTCACAAATATGGGAAGGAGTGGTCACGCTTGCATCCAATATACTAGAAATAGACATACCCAGAGATCCTTGGCTCTCTAGACCCCATACCCCCTCACCAGAGCACAGAATAAACTGGTGGCTAGACTAGCGCTGGCCACCAGACGTACGATAGCAGAACAATGGGGCAATCAGAACACACCCCAACTAACCACGATGATCAACAAAACACAAGAAACTATGGAAATGG